CACCTCCAAGATGTTCATCCACATCAACGTCAGCCATGTGTCCCGCCCCTGGGGTGCGCACCCACATTTGGTGGCACACTCTGAACATTTCGGTACGCACGCCCGTCTGCACACTCCCCCGCCCTCGATCGCCTTCATCCGCCGCCCCTCACCTAAACTTCGACCCAAATCCGGCGTGCAGCGCATCATGGACTTTCCCCTATGACCAATGCTGCTTAAGGGATAGGATATGAGCTTCAAATTTCCAAAATAATATATGGTCGCAGTGGTAGCGAAATTTTCCATGCTTGCTCCCACACCGCTCATTCCTCCCCATCTCCTCTCTTCATCCTGATCCTCCTATCCCAATTGGTCCTCTAACCCATACACCATACAGGCGTAGCCGCGTAGGTGACAGAGCGCTGCCGGTCCCCGATGTGATGTACTACCTGCTCCCGACGAGGTTGTGTACCACTATCTACTTTTCCTATACTACTACTGCTTCCAATATCATCCCACGACATCTCGCTACTTCATTCATTCATTCATTCTAACAATAGCACTCGGATTTCGAAATCTACTTCATTCATTCTGACAATAGCACTCGAAGACCTGCATACGCACCCCGATTAGGGCCAGATACACAAAAGATGCAACACTGGAAAAAAAAAAAAAAAAAAAAACGACAGAAAAACCGTACGGTAACATTCACGTGTGAAAAAAAAAAAAAAAAAAAAAAAAAAAAAAAACCCATGGGGAACATTCACGGGGGAAAAAAAAAAAAAAAAAAAAAAAAAAGTATCCGCAGGTACTGCGAAGAAAATTACGGCAAACAGAACAATTGTGCCGGCAAAAGATGTTCGAACGTCATCTTTCCTTGCCGCGAAATCATCCCGTACTTTCGGGAAGAAGTGATGCAGGAAGTCGTTTGCGAGGAATGCGTGTTGCACCAACAGTACCTGGACGGGAATGCGGCCCCGTTCAGACTACAGTTATGGTCCAAACTGTGCAAGCAACCCGCGGCCGCCGCTGCCTTTTGTTTTGCTTACATGTCCACTGCTTGAAATCCTGCCCGGTCGGTCCTGA